TTTTTTTATAACCCATACTTTTCGTGGGATTGTGTTTTTATCTTTCTTTCTTTCTTCCTTTTTTTTTGAATTTTTGTTTGTTTATTTGTTTTTTGTTTTGTTTTCGTTTTTTGTTTGTTTGTTTGTCTTTCTTTCTTTCTTTCTTTCCTTCTTTCCTTCTTTCCTTCTTTCNTTCTTTCTTTCTTTCTTTCTTTCTTTCTTTCTTTCTTTCTTTTCTTCCTTTCCATTCTTCCTTTCTTTCTTCAATTCAGCTCCACTCCACTCCATATTATTTCATTACTTCTTTCTTCCATTCTCTCTTTCATTACCATTACTTGTTTTGTTCCCTTCTTATCCAATTATAATCTATATTTACTAGAAACCTCTCTCCCCTTCAATATATTAGCTAAGCCACCACCGACAGTTTTGTTATTAGATCCAAGCTAAGCGACACACGCGATCAACAGTCGGAGGTCTCCATCAATTAGTAATTACAAGCGTACGATCTTATTCTAGAGGTTACGATGTTTTCGGTCGTTCCGCGATCACTTTGTAGTACAATCTTACTGTACGTATTTACAGCAGTCCTCTCCAGCAGGGTTTCAGTAGCTGATCCAAAGATTTTGATTAAATTATATAAGCAATGAGTGTTGTCAAAACTAAATATCATATGCTTTTAAATACGGTGTTGTGATGTACATGTGAAAGATGTAAAAAAATATATTAAAGTAAAGAAAATTATTTGGCCGTAAATTTTTCAACTACAAGTTTATACTTAGCAATTAGTCCTATAGCCCGAATGGGCTATGAGTCAACAGCTTTTGAGACCAAAGGGGCTAGGCGCGGAGATGAATAATTGTCTTAGTCAAATCCAGCTAGTCGGTCAAATATATAAATGCAAACAAGTTTTGAAATCTTAAAGTTAAATTTAATGTTTCGGTTTTCAAAGCCGGCACTACTAGTAGGCTATAATCAGAACGCAGCATTGGTGATAGACAACTGGTTGGATTCGACCAAGTTCAATAGCTCCTTTTCTCATTCGGTGAATACCGCTGTGTTTTATGACTAAAGACACATCGGCACAAGCTTAGCCTCGTCCAAGAGCAATCAAATCATTGCAGAAGTCAACCGTTATGTGAAAGAATGCGTAACTTGCATTAAATACCATTATAAACGAGGCTTAGCCTGCACCAATGAGTCTGTGGTTTTCAAAAACAAAAACGGTATGCGTCGAATACTAAACTTGTGTATTGTATTATATTTAAGGGATTGTTTTCGGTTATCTTCAGAATCGATTACAAATCAAAATTAAACCAAGAGAAAAACCAATACCATCACTGGAAAGAGCACCTTTATTTTAGTAACCCTAGAAGATTCAATATGTCAGGTGTTATTCGGCTGAGAAAACTCAAGTTGAAAATTGACAAATTTAAAGACCGTTTGTATGTCTGGGGGTATAGCTTATACCGTCAGACATACAAATGTCAGTAAATTTGTCAAATTGTCAAGTTTTATCGGCCAATATAACACCTGACATAATGAATCTTTGTAGGGTTACTAAAGTGAAGTTGCTCTTTCCAGTGCTGGTTTGGTTTTTTAGCTTAACGTATTTCAATATTCGGCCGCCATTTTGGCAAGGGATCTATGGTCTTTGCGTCTTTCTTTTTTTCTTTCTTTTTTTTTTTTCTTTCTTTCTTTCTTTTCTTTCTTTCTTTCTTTTCTTTCTTTCTTTCTTTTCTTTCTCTCTTGCCAGATGATACCGTAAATATTTGCTAATAAACACAACCTCAGCGTTCAACTCTTCTCATTCTCCATATCATTCCATTCTTTTTGGTTTTTAACCCTTGATGCTCTTTCAGCCAAAACTCGACCACAGTCTAGAGACATTAGGAATACAGTCTAGCTTTGGTAAGGTATGGTTGTCTGGCGTAAACCACCCCTACTTCAAAAATAGTATAGTTCAAACGAAAAACATGAATGCTAAAATGTCGGCTGTAAAGAAAGAATGACCGCAAGCAATCTCGTCAATCACTTTACTTTTAACACAACTTTCTACTAATTTCTGTTGCTTCTATCTAGAAAAAGGAATTCAGGATAAAAAATGGAGAAGGGAGAAAAGCTACATAGGAGGTTGGAGAGGATCGGTTAATAATGATTTTTTTTCTAGAGTTTTTCACAGACTAATGGGATAATCCCGAGACTACATCTGTGTGCCCTATAAATGCTGTACTGGAGCTATACTATACTATTAATACTATATAGTAAGACTATGATACGGATTTCAATAGAAATAAGCTCCGATTGATATCCATGATGTATACCCACTCCTTGCACTTGCCTCTTGTGAGTACTATATGTTATCGTTCACGTGTTATGCTTCGACCATGGTTCATAAAATGGCAACTATCGAATTGCGTCTAATGTAAAACTATCAAATGATAACCTATAGATTAATCAAGTTAAGTTCCACTGCGTTTAACACTCAGTTTATCTTCAGGGCAAAGATGTGACTATGGATTTCATGAATTGTCAGAAATAGTGCACAAAAAGCGTGGTCTATTTTTCATAAACGCATTCAAAAAATTATCGTTTATATCAAAAATTCATCGTTGCCCTCAGGATGCACAGTATGTCCGAAAGCTCGGAAATATAAATTGCAAAAAGTATTCGAGCTAAACTTTAATCAGTTTTTCCCTACGTTTGCGTACAAAACGTGTAAATTCTTAGTAATGTTTGATGGTGCTAAGTTTTCCTGACCATGGTATAATCTATTTAATTGTAACCCCCTTGCAATGATGGTTAAACAATCCGACCACGATAAATTTCGTATTATGATTTTGTGGTCTATCAAACGCAGTAATTAATTTATTGGGGAATAAATTCAACAATACTGATCATGGCTACAGTTTTGAGCATGGCTCATCAAACGAATTATTGTCCATGAACCATGTTTAAAATATTGTATACACAGAGATCTGAAATCTGAAATCTTTGACATAGTAAAATGCTGCTAAGTTTAATATATTCACAGCCGAGCAACATAGTTTCCTTTTAGATTGGAATATGTCCATGACCTTTGATTTAGGAATGTGATTTTTTTCGTTTTTGCCATGAAAACCGCAAGCACAAAAATTCCGTCTCATATCGCCTATTTCAGATCTATCACCGACAACGTTTTTGAAATGTGTATCAATGTAAAATGGGCACTTGCTCATAAAAATTTGGTAAATATTTAACACATATATGATGCTACAATGAAATCCAAGGTGAAAATGACGATGAGACCGACAGTATAGTGATCACTTTGGTTAGTTTTTGACGATTTGTAAAGACAATGATTAACTTTGTGCCTAACTTTTTATTTCTTTTTATTTCCTAATTATTTTTTAAAGGTTTTTTTTCTTCTTCTTAAAAGATAAGAAACTATTATACATTACCATATATACGTTATACATTATCATTATTATTATACTATCATACGTGAAAAACGAATTTTTTTTAATGTTAGAAAAATTTAAGTGTCGAGTATGAGATAAACAAAAATATAGAGCATTATATTTGAGAAACGAATAGTAGGATAAGATAAAATAAAACAAATAATTACTAATTTTAGTACTATATATAGAGCCATAAACAATAGAAACTTTCAGCACAGTATTTGCATAAAAATAGATTTCAATTCCCAGAGGATAGAAAATGTATTGTTTTGGTACCCCATAATGGCCGCTGTGACGTCAYGTGAAAACGCTCTATAATTGCTGATAGATATTTACAGTGAATATTATCAGCCAAAATGCTTTGATTTTTATGAATATGTGGTTCAAACGCCCACTTGAAACATCCCCACAGGACTTCACATACTGCATTTTTCATGTATACAAGATGAAGCAAACATGTATAAGGGGTTGAGAAATCATTTGCACTTCAGTGGCAACTCTTTTTCCGCGACAGTAGCGTAGAAGTAGCAGTTGTGTTTCTTTAGCTGTGATATCTACTAATTCTGAGTATCAAGTTTTTCATCCCTTCTTTAAATGTTGCGTTGGCATGGCAACTGTGCTATTAGGAATAATGGTTTCTGTGGCGGATTTAGGGGTGGGGGGGTTCATTGGGTGCCAATGAACCCCCCCCCCCCCCCCCCCTCCCTCAACCGGCTGGTACCTTGGATTTTTTATATTTTTTAAAATAAATAAATAAAAGTATGGTACTAACTCATGAGATTCAACGTGAAATGGGACTGGTGGATAGGTTATCCTTATCAGGAGCGCCCCTAGGCCAGTGATGTGCCTCATGGAAAAAATGATGATGTAAGAGAACGTTGTTGTTGTGGCGAGATTTGCAAAATGAACCCCCCTCTTAAAGTCCTGGATCCGCCACTGGATTGAACCACAGCAAATCTATTTATAGTCGATCTTCAGTTTTTGAATATGTAACAACTACTCGGTATGATAGAAATGCGCTATACTTACAATTCTTAGATTATATTTGATATATTTGTCTATTTATATTTTACATTCAGTCAATTATTCCTCCCAAATTTTTTCTATGTATGAATTATGTAACACTGTTGTAATAAACAGTGATAAATTTCGAATGCTATTATATTTA